TGAGAGCACACACACACACACGACGCATAGAGAGGATGAGTATATACATACATACATACATACTTGCATATGTAGAATTTTTTGCATACATACATACATACATACATACATACATACATACATACATATATATCTGTGTGCGTATGCGCGTACACTTACACACACACACAGTGACACACACACACACACGCACTGAGTTCTGTGTGCATGTATGTATGTACGTACGTATGTATGTACGTATGCATCTACGTATGCATATACATATATATATATATATATATATAGGGATATGTATATAGGTATCTATAAATACACAGAGGACTCTCTGCCTGCATCTGGATCGTTGTACGTGGCCTCCTGGCATAGGCATTCAGGGTCTCATGGGGTTTGACGTCTGTGCAGAAAGTCATGCAACAGCTTCGGAGGGTTCTTCATGTTCTTAGACGCACTTTGCAAAGAGGCTTTCAGGCCAGTTGAGGATATAAGGGTTCGGGTTGTTTTGTAAAGCCCCGTAATACCAGGTCCTGAAAAGATAGCGCTTAAGTTAAAACTTGTAGCCCCCTGCTTCGTGGCACGCAAGGACAACTTGTAGCTTGAATTGATCCGAAATGGGATTCTGGCCCTGATCTCTTCTGATCCCTTCTGATCCTTGCCTTGGCACTTGACGCGCCCACACGGCCCAGAAGGGTAGAAGGGCTGGCATCGCTGGCTGTCGAAGAGGCCTGGGCTCGGCGCTTTGGAATTTTATAAGGGCTTCTGTGAAAGGAACTACAAGGGTTCTATCAGGGGTTTTATAAGGGTTTCTGTAAAAGGAACTACAAGGGTTCTACCAGGGTGTGGGGTTTTATAAGGGTTTCTGTAAAAGGAACTACAAGGGTTCTATCAGGGTGTTTAGACTTTAGGGTCTATGGGGTCTAGAGGCTCAGGCTAATCAGGGTTTCGGGGTTTTCAAGATTTGGAGTTTCGGGTTTAGGGCTTGGTCTAGAGATTCCGGGTATTTTTATGAGGGATTCGGGCTTTGGGGTTGAGCGTGCAGGGGCTAGAGGTCGTGCACTCTAGCGATGGCTGTGATTCGAGATAGGCATGCACCCAAGTTCTTTGGAAGCGGGGATTAAAGGGACACTCGCTACAAACTCTGATCAATCCTCCAGAGCATTGGGAATGTTCCCTAAACCCTAAACCCCTAAACCCTAAATCCTAAACCCTAAACCCTAAATCCCTAAACCCCTAAACCCTTGATTGAAACTGCTACCAAGGTGTCAGAGAAGAGTTAGAAGGTCAGGCCGGATGGGGGTTTAGGGTTGGGGAGCCATGTAACATTGATACTAGTCGCATAGCACTGACAATACTGATGTAGGTTTAGGGTTCCGGGTTTAGGGTTCAGGGTTCAGGGTTTAGGGTTTAGGGTTCAATAATGACGACACGGATCAACAGCCACTGAAGCTGGTATATTGCTTGCCATGTCGAGCATAGTGATACCCTTAATAGCCCGATCCAGCAAGAGCCACTATGTGTCTGTGTACCCGCAAAGGTAACCATGTACACAGTTATACAAAAGCTATACATTAATAAAACTATTATGACTACATATTTTTTTGTGTGTGCATGTGCCTATGTTTGTGTGGCAAAATATTAGCATGATTCGAAACGATCCTACAGTAAATCTGTTTAAATAACAATGATGACCGCAGGCAGTCAGTGAGCCAGTCCACCGGCCCTAACCCCAGGGCTCAAAAGGTAGCAGCGCAGGTTTATCCCTAACCCCATAAACCCCTCCTCAAACAGAAACATATAAACGTCAAACCCTCAACCAAAAACAAGCACAAGAAAAACATATCAAAGGTAAAACCCTCAATCAAGAACCTCTCCCCCCGAACAAAATGTCAGCCAGCCAGGCAGGCAGCCAATCAATCAGTCCACCACAGCCCTAAACCCTGCAGACAAGATAGTCATGAGGACGATGCTGAATAAACACTGAGCCCATGAGGGTGCAGGGTTTTAGGTTTACCTCAAACCCAAAATATCTACCTTACCGTCCCGCATTAAACTCCCATATATAAGTCCACAACATATGTTGTTCGTTAACTTTTCTTTGGTCCAGTATGGTTTCCCCTAAAAAAATTTACTAAATGCCAAGCCCTGAACCCTCAACCCCGCAACCCTGAACCCTTAAACTCCTAAGCCTCAAAGCCAGAGACTCCAAAACCCCTTAATTAAGGAATAAACCTTAAACTATAATAGGAATCCTAATATGATTTGTGGTATATTCCTTAACTAAGGGGTTTTGGAGTCTCTGGGCACAAAAGCTAAAGCGGAGCCGCTCTGGAGCTCACCCCGGCGCTCTTCCGATGGTCGCGACTTCGGATCATCAATTCCAGGGAAGCGTCCTGAAGGCTCTCATTCGGTTTCAATGGGGTTTAGGGTTTAGGGGTTTAGGGTTTAGGGTTTAGGGTTTAGGGTTTCGGATCATCAATTCCAGGGAAGCGTCCTTGAGTTTGGGGATCTCTAGTAGGGCCTTCATGGCTCTCATTCGGTTTCTATAGGGTTTAGGGTTTATAGGGCTTGTCGGGTTTAAGGTTTGG